AGTCTCGGCTGCAGTTTTCCCTAACAGAAAGCAAAATTTCACGCACTCTCTTTGTTCCTTCTGGTCGGCCATCTCACTAATCGCCAAAGGGTTGAAACAGGAACGCACACAACAGAGCACCAGAGACAAACCACTTAACTCGGACTGACGCCAGCTCACTAACAGTCGCGGGATACCCCCAGCTAACACCACCTAGCAGCACAACTCGTAACTACAAAGCATGCGCGCGCAACAGGTCGGTTCCGGTTATTTTTGGGTCCCCCTTCGCATATGCAGGCCTTCAAAACAAACAAACAACAACAACATTCAATAGCCAAAATAACAAATATGAAACTCACACACAGTATACAGAAATAAATAAGCAAGGCATAAAACCCCCAAAAGAGCGAGGCACTACAACCCAAATTAGCGATTGCCCACGTAATCGCATGTTATGGACAGTCGTAACAAATAGAAAACTAAACTGCCCATTTGCACCAGCCTCAATAAGCCATCGAACAGGTTACACCAACATTCAGCATAATAATAATAATAATAATAATAATAATAATAATAATAATAAAATCAACACGGTCGAAACTGCACTGGAATAAAAAATATTCCGTTGCGACCGCGGGCAGCCTTACCCTTACCAGCCAGCCAGACATTGTCCAAACATAACTTGAGAAATACAAAGTCCGAAACAGAATTTCAGTTCCAGTCCTCTCACGACTATGTAGTCCTTCAGATCGCACAGACACACCTACTTCCTTCCGAGACATCAGGAGAGGGAAGGAAGGTCACGTGGTCTACATAGGTAGAAATAACGGTAAAGACGTCAGCATAATGCCTGTGGGGATTGGGTTCAGGGATGCCAGGATGCAACGCGCATGAGCAATTTATCCCGAGATTGTCACTACAAAAGGAATATCTTTTGTCTTTCCCTTTCCTTTATGACACGCCTTTTGGGAACAACGAGGTTAGATAGACTGGCGAATGTTTTCATAGTTTTCATGATCTCATCACTGTTACTGTCCCTTTGTTCTCACCGTCCCAGTGTGGGTTCGGATTCCACCCCATGCACGTTTTCTTCAGGGGCTTTTAACCTCCGCCGGGAGGTACCCTACCATCAAGCCAAATTTGGTCAAATGTGATAGTGGAATAATAGACTAACAAGCAGTCACACATTGCGTATGAAGATGGGAAGTGTGATATTATAATGGCTAGGATTCACGTTGCACCATTGAGGAATAGGACTACGCTTCCTGTCAAGGGCATAGATACTTCCCCTCTCCACGGGGCTCAGAGCGGCTCTGGGGCGAACTCGAATTTTTGTCCGCTGGGTATTGAGGTCCCTTTTCTAAAGGGGAAAACAGCTTTGGCGTCATTATTTTTGGTCACTGCGTTGGAAAGATTACGGGGTTAAAAATATTCTCTTTTGAACGGAATGAATAGTTGGGTTACTGTCATAATTAAGTTCTTATGGGGAATTCTTCGTGCTCTTAAACGGGCCATACCTCTCGCCTATGTGTTCGTATCACACTTCAAACGTTGTAGCAGAAAGTAACAACTGCACTGCTCTATAAACAACTTTCATATTACACGTACTGGAAAATGGGAACCAGAAACGTAGAACTTGCGAAGGCGTTGTCAGAATATTAGTTCAATCTATCATAACGTTCTGTGCGAATTTCGTAGCCTTAAAATTGCGAAATTTGAAGAAAAAATGAATGAAGATGCAGAACCCCATGAGAGTACTATGGAATGATCTCTTAAAATCTGGGTTGAAAGTTGCATTTATCAAAAGTTAGACAAATTACCCTTTTTTTTTCTGAAAGTCCTTTTGTACCACGGTAGATCACAGTAAAATTTTAATACCGCAAACATTATCTATCTTCTGAATTTTATACTAATATGCAAAGCTTCGAAAAAATTGGTTTGCTTCAGTCTTCAGACAAAAGAAGGGATCTGATCTAATGGGTTCATTTTATTGTAAAACCTGAGAACGGAAAATGTCCAGAGGATTATAGCTAAAGGTGGTCCATAGAAAAAGGGACGGATTAATTCCGAGTTCAAATGTGTAGTCGGAACATTGTAGTAGGACTAATCCCAAAAGGTGGTGGTGGTGGTTATTGTTATTGTTATTAATATTATTTTTTACTGCAATTGGGTATTCACCCGGTGGCAGTAGATATTACATTGATACAGACTAGGAAAGACTATAATATAAAATGAACAATACAAAACAAGGTACACATACAACGAGCAAGGCACCCATAGTGCAAATTCAAACATATAAAGCCATAAAAGGGCACGTGCTTGTGTTCGTTTCACTGACCTCGAACAGGGACACTTCACATTACTTCTAGCGCCCTATGGCAGAGTAATTCGTAATACAAGAGGATTTGTTATGAAGCAATCGTGATCTAACTGATGGACTACCTTACATTTGCGAGCAGGGACTGAGTAAAACCGTGGACAACCTTAGTCGGGATGTATGGTGGTCCAACGAGATTCGAACCGGTCACTTACCAAATAAAATTCAAGCACGTTAAACTGAAGTATCCATCTTTCGTTCTGGCTGCTTTAACAACAGTGGCCACGCATGTTGATATAGGCTGAAAATACCAAATAGACCGCTCTATTCATTCAACTGTGTGTGACCTCCTAGCCTTGACTAGACACGGCGGAAAGAAACGGAAATACAGGCGGATTTTGTATCTGATTTGTTCACATTAGAACAGTAAACGATTTTAACGCAAAATCCGCAGGAGTCTTATACAATATTTTTTTTTGCGTGCAAACAATTAGAATTCCATAATACATACTTTGGCCTCTACAGGCAGTCTCCACAACCAATGCGTGCTGCCATTAGAATGGACCCACGCATGATGACGCGAGGCTGGTTGTTAGGTTTCTGAACAAAATTCTTTTTACAGGATAAGGTTGTTAGCCTCATGCCCAACCTCCAACCTGGAGGACCAGGGTATATCTCTTAGTCTGGACTCTACCCTTTGAGCTTTCCGGCATGGGTGACCCTACTGGTAGTTAAACTACCATCGGCATAGCTCGCCAGGTCACAGAATCACGCAAGCCCCACCACCACGACAAGGCGGAGACAGAATTCCACAACAGACTTAACACATTTTGAAACCAGTGTAAGAAGTCTGCCATGTAAACAAACGAACTGTCTATCTCTCGTCACTGCCTCAGTGTAAACAATGGTGGTGGAACAAATTTTGCCAGTTGATATCTGGATATAATTCTTTTCTATGTGAACCTTTCTGCAAGTCATGATGGGCCAAACAATTTCCCTCCCTTTTACATAAACAAGGACGATCGATCAGCTGTCAGTCAAATCACAGGAAAAGAGTAACAACGTAAACCCACCTGTCAAACTAAGTTAAGCATGGATCGCGATCTTAGAACGGTGATGGATCTGTGCTCAAGCAAAAGACCAGTGGAAGGGTATTATACAGTGGGTGGACAAACTGAGGGACAGAATTTGTTTGTGTAGGCTACACTGAAAGAACTTCAGTTGTCACCATTGAATGTTCTTCCGTTTGTTTACATTCCTCAGTGCATTAGTGATTGTGTTGAGTGACAGCGTGTGAAAGAATCAGCAAATGGGAGCTTTGTCCGATTTTGAAAGAGGACAGATCCTTGGTGCGTGCTTAGGTGTAGCATATATGACAAAAACTGCCACATTGCTAGGCGTAGCGAAAGCGACAGTTCCTAAGGTTATGCCGGCATACACGAAATGTGGGAAGGCAACATCAGAGAAGAGGAACAGTGCGCGAAAATCAGCATTAACAGAAAGAGATTGTCGTACATTGAGAAGGACTGTTTCGAAAAATCACATAATTTCCTCAGCAAATGTGACAGTAGAACTGAATATTACATCTGGAACAACCTGTTTACACAAAACTGTCCGACGTGAGCTTCGCAGATCCAACATCCACGGCAGGGTTGCAATTGCAAAACCTCTGATTACTGAAAGTAATTCTCAGACACGTAAGAGATTACGTCACTCTCATAAACCTGGACATCAGACAACTGGAAACGCGCTCGTGATATGGTCAAATGAGTCGTCCTTCATGCCGTTCCTTAATTTATGTTTGGAGAACACCAAAGAATGCCTACAACCCGGAATTCCTGATTCCAACAGTGAAACAAAGGGGAGGTAATGTGACGCTTTGGGCAGCAGTGTCGTGGCATTCTGTTTGTTCAATTATTACCCTTCATGGCCGAATTACTGCAAGGGAGTACGCGAACAGGTTGGGCAATCAGGTGCATCCCACGTTCAAGACGTTATTTTCTACCGAACAACGGTGCAGATTTCCTAGACGACAATACCTTTCATTTATACAGCTTGAACTATTAAGTCATGGATTGAAAAGCATGAAGGTGAACTCCGCCATCTTTCCTTGGCAGCAGAATAATCAGATTTCAATATCATTGAAACACTCTGGTCAGTTTTGGGGACTAGAGTGAGGAACATATTCTCACCTCCAACATCTGTAAAATAGCTTGAAGATGTTCTACAAAAATGGTATAAAATTCCGTTAGAGACTATTCAGAACTTGTACGAGTCCACTCCAAGGAGGACTGCGGCTGTATTGAACGCTAAACTTGGTCCGACACCATATTAATAAAGAAATGTGTACAGTATCAGCACTGTTTCCGTTATTTTGTTCAACACTGTATATTACGGCATGGGGTGCGTTCAGAGAAATGTTGCCAGCAAACACAGCTCGTTGGGGCTGTAATTACTTTCAGTTCCAGTTCAGTGTAAGTAGCTTCAAAACTGCTTACAGAATAACAATACATAACGGATAAATTTAAAATACTACTGTGCAACAGAGCAAATAAAGTGACTATAGCTGAACTAATGAACATAATAATTGTACGAGAAATAATAAAAACAGGAATATCAATAAAATTAGTAAATTAAAATCAGTATTAAAATCAATTAAATTGTTCTGTACAACTCACCTTCGGCATCTGTCAGCATCCGAAGCAAAGAAAAGAAAACACTGTTTGAAATACATCAGAACTGACGAACTAGCCTACTTACATGAGAACAGTTTCAGTATCAAACAGACAAATTGCAGAGTTTCGTTTTGTCAGCATTGAATCATTTTTAACCATAGCATAAGCTGCAGAACGGATCCTGCATTTGTTTCGTCACGACTCGAGTATCGTATAAATTAGCTTTCGGTTATAACTGTTACGTCACATAATGCAGATCACAGCTCTTTCATAGCAACAATGAACTATGATCGAACGGCTGCTCTATTAGACTTACCTTCATTCCTCATTATCAGTATTTGTTACGGACACTGAATTGTGGACCAGGCATATGACTAAAGAAACTGCATTGAAATTACATCAAATAAGTAATAAAGAACACTAGAAAAACCTACAAGACAGAATGCTTTCCTGCTCCTAATTTTTAAAATAAATATCCCAAGTTTCTCTCTTCTGCGTTAAAATTAATCACTCACCATCCTAAACCATCTTTTTAATATCTTACATTTATGTTATGACCCTCAATACAACAATAAAACGGAATATCTTCAGGTGGAGACAAAAATGGATGTTTACATGTGTCTTACTTACGAGTATTTCAGTATTCAGTATTGAGGGGGTGAGTTTCCCCATGCACTTAGACCAGTTATTGGTCCATTGTGCGTCCCCCTTTTAATTTCTACTGTCTCCATACCCTACCGGTACTGGTGCTCGCTATTAGCCCCTTTCTGCCAGCGAGGTTCCAACCTTCTACTGGCAGTGGTATTTAATAGTTAGTCCCTTTCTGTCAGAGAGGTCCCCCCTCCTCTGGCAGTGGTACCTAATACTTCCCCATCTACTGGAGGCATTGGGAACTACTTTAGGCGGGAAACTTTTTGCCAAATTTAGCTCAGAGGTCTCCTAGAGACACGAGGTTCTTTTACGTGCCGTAAATCTACGACACGGGACCCACGGCTTAAAGTCCCTCCCGGAGGACTTGTTCCCTGAATTTTTCCGCCCTTAAAAATTCCACGATCTTACGCGGGTTTGAACCCGCGTGCCTTGAGTCATGAGGTGGGAACGTTACCCCTAGACTACGGAGGCCGCTACGAGTATTTAATATAAGCGTGGATTTCTTACTACATGTTTCGACCTATGATGTAGGTCATCATCGGGCACCTTCTATGATCTATGATCTATGATCGTATAACCCTAGTTATTAATGTTAATTGTAACTGTAAGATATTATACACATAACAGGATGCAATCTGTAAACTTCATCTTGTTAAAATTTTAAATCTTTATAGCTCAGTATTTACTCTATACACAATCTGTTTGAACATCAAAATCTCTGTATGCTGCCCACAGAATTCATGTATGGGTTTCGCAGGATTCTCAGAATAAATATAAATAGCCTTTATTCCCATAAAATATTAATCGATTTGTCTCTGTAATGGAGGCGCAGTGTGTTTTCTGCGCAGTTGAAACTGAGTCTTATTTATTTAGATGAATCAGTAATTCATATTATTGATAAAGCAACAGGACATATGTTGAGGATATGTTAGAGTACCTCCCGTTTTCTATTGATTTATCAGACTGCTGGCTAAAAGTCAGTATGCAACCGGAAGGTCTTGCAGTCGGCTATCCTGACAGTTTATTTTTGCTTTCCCTCCGTCTTTAAGCAAATTCTGACATGGTTTCAATGTTCCTAGTTATTGCTGCGTGCTTCTCATGCAACCTTCCCGACTTAAATTAATCAAAATTGAACCCCATTACTGTCAAAGTCACCAAAATTATTTTTCCAAATAATACAATTCAACAGAAATTTATAAAATCAAAATGCCACTATCACTGTCTCAAGTCACTATTTCTAACCATTTTAACGCCTTCACTTTCACAATGCTGTTACCAGAACGAGCAGGAGACGCCTGTGAATCTTCTAAAAAGGACGCTCGTTCTCCCCTCCCCTAGAATGTAGCGTCTGTCAATACTCCCCACTTTCTTTTCTCTAACTGATAACATATTCAAGGTTACCCTGGAGATGAAATCATTTTACAGTAATAATATATGTCGCATATAAGAAATTTAAGTCTGGAGTCCAATATAAAATTATGCTAGATTCGATATTTTTAATATTTATATAAACGACAATCCCTCCGAATAGAGACTGGACACCGATTTTCAGATCACATGCCGAAGATAAACAAGTCTCGGACCAGGGTTTAAACGAAAGGTAATTCCAAACAGATACTGTAAATTATACAGATCCCAGAACTGTGGTTAATCCCGTGGCCAATCGAAAACGTGCAAGTCTGACACATGCACCAAACGCAGGAACCCTTCAACCGTACCGTACAGTGGAGAACTGAGGCAGAAACATCACTTCTGATCGCGTGTTCTGTTTCTGCTAAAGAAAGCACATAGAAGACTTTGCCATCAGTTTAAGTTCGAAGGTTAATCGCAAGGTTGCATGAACACTACACAAATCCTTGTTAAGGTCCATCTTATTATATGCAGTTCGATCTGGAGTACTGCAGCCCTAATCCATAACACAAACCTGCAATCATTCCAAAACAAATATCGAAACTACGTTGGATGTCGGTAACAAAGTACTGCATAGGAACCTACAAATGACCATTCTGGAAACCATTAGATACCTGGTCATGAAAATGTATTTTCGATGGCTGGAGCACAGAAACCGGAGAGTACAACAAAGGACAATATGACCCGATGGCAGAAAGTAAAAAAGGCAGCGTAAAATTTTCTCCGCCATTTACACACGTAACTGTTTTAAACAGAACGGATCTTTGCTGCATAGCTACTCAACTACCCTCAGGGGTGCATTTGTGGAGATCAACATTATTTTTTCAGACACACTGTTCCATAGGTTCATCATCAGCCAGCATTCGTGGGGATCCAGCGCATAGGCAGCGTCAGAAGTTGATCCCTTAGCTGGGTCAAATCAAGAATCATATCACGGAAACCGGAAAAAGAATTGAAACTAATATCCTCAATAAATTTGAAACCCCCTACATTCTTTATTTACAAGAATGCTGACTTGAAGCCAGGATGTATCAGGAAGTTCCTGCAACCGGCCATCCAGACATATGCTGCCTGTTTTCAAGCACGTGGCAAAATGTTATCAAATTCCCAAGTTGTCACTGTACAAAATTATATCCTTTGCCCTAGAGGCATTCAAATTTCCTTTCCAATTTATGAAAATCTCATCTAACCAGAAAATCAAAATTCTACGGCCCTTGTCTACAGTGATTCACAAAACTTGATGCCCAATGTGAATAAATAAATTCTTCATGGTCACCGCCGTGAAACCTCAAATCTTACAAATTCTTTCATGAACACCCAGACAGGTGAGCTTCGTTCAAATCTTGGATAACTGACGTACCAGGCCGCTGGCTTAGCATGTTTTAACGTTTGATTTCTTTGTTCGCTCGCTCTGTTTCTCCCTCCCTTCATGCCTCAATCAAAAGGTCAGAAGCACCTGAAAATTTCATTCGACTATATGACAGAAAAGTTCTGCCCGAGGATAATATTTTTCAATCGCATTTTTACGTACTTGCTTTTAATGTTCTCATCTGGCCAGAAATGCTAACCAATTTAAATAACAGGATACTTTCGCAATAAAACAATGGATTTTACCATCATTTCTTTCAAATAAAGAAAAAGGTATATAGGATTTGATGTTTTCAAAACGGTGGTCATGAAGACTTCTATATTCTGGGATAAAACGCCGTGTAATCCGTTGAAAGTCAATTAACGTTTCGGAGGAATATGTCGCAAAAAGATGCTTTGACTGATGTCTGTTTCATGTTGGTTTCTTGCATGACTCACTCTTCAACCCTGAAGATGAGAAGATATTTTAACGCACTGCCAGGCAACGGCTCTGTAAACAGTTTCCAACATGCAACGATAGAGGAAGCTGTGTTTCTACATATGATGTGGGCCACGCAACAGTATGTGGGTTGTTTTCTGTGCGTGGTCCGTGCCGAAGCTTTATAACAGACAAGGAAAATCGCTTGGGCCAGTTGAGTTCCGAAGTTCCAGGGGAGAAGTAGTGCGACCATAAGCTGTAGAAGGAATTAGACTGTGCCAAGAAGATTGTGAGAGTGTGTGACTTTACATGTGCTGTAGTACAGTGATACTGAGAGTGTGTAATTTAGTGAGACTATTATAGTTCCTCTTTTATAAATCCGTTGCCAGGAAACGGATGGTGAATAATAGTGGAAACAGACTGAGAAGATTATTGTGGAGTGATTGTAAATTGTGTAAATCAGCAGTAGTGTAATAATTATTTGTAGTTACGATCTGTGGGGGCACGCAGTAGCGTAGTTGGTCGAGGGGCTATGCTACAAGCCGGAAGGTCGCGGGGTCAAGTCCCGATGAGGTCACTGGATTATTTTCAATTGACCTAATCCTTCTAGCCGCACTATGGCCCTGGGGTTGACTCAGCCTCTAACAGAATTAGTGCAAGGAATTAATTAATTAAATAATTTTCCTAGGGAGTAAAGCGCGGCCGGCGCGTAAGCCTGACAACCTTACCGCAATCTTTGAGTCGACTGTCTAGATCAAGCATGTCAAACTCAACTTGTACAGAGGGCCACCTCGGACCTATAAATAACAGTCCAGGGCCGCACATCAAAATAGAAATATACATTAGATTTTGATACAAGGAAATTTAATTCTATTTGTTATTTAGGAATAATTTCAATATAATTACCTAAAGTCACATATCTTACAGTTTTAAAAAGCAAGAGAATGCCATTTTTGACAAGTATCAAACAGCTTTTCAATATGTAAAAACAGAGATTACACAAGAAATTATGTTAGAAATAGCAAAATATTGAATTTCCTGCATCCTGCTAATTTATGTCTGCGTGAGACTTCTTGTCTTCTGGTCTGTTGGAAAATTGTCTTTACAAAAAATATTTCTACTAAAATTTTAATATTTATTTTAATATCAATTAGCTCTAAAAGTTGTGGGACCGCACTCTGTGGCTATGGATGCCGCATGTTTAACACGGCTGGTCTAGATAATGTGGGACCCTCAACGTCTCACAACCCTATGGGCCTTCACGGCCTGGTACAGGGATAGCTTTACTTTTTTTACTTTATTTTTAGTTACGATCTGTAGGTGGTTAATAAATCCAATTACCAATCCGAACGCCATCTTTAGTCATAAAACACGTGACAGTATGTTGCTTTGTAATATCTGTTGACTTTCAACGGGGTATACGGTGTTACATTCAAGAGATATAAGTCTTCATAATCACCTCTTTGAGAATCTCAAATCCTACAAATGTATCGAGATTAAAAAGGATACTGGGAATTCTCTCTGTTGTTAGCAGAAGAATGTTCAAGCTTAGAGCGTCAGAACCACTGATGGTGGAATGAGGTGAAATACTTTCACAAAACGTCCACAGAATTTGTTTCTGACAAAGTGGCAGAACCTACTATAATGAATCTCTATTTCTTTTTACTAAAAATTTTGTTGCAGAAGGTTGTGGTGTGGAGCTGTAAGGGAAGAGTCAATACTAGTGCAGCACCCAGATCAATATGCGAGTTGACTAAGGATATTATTTTTATTTTTTTTAATTCGCTTAGTGGGGGGGCGGAGTCCAATTGTGTCCACTCGGCACGGCGGCCACTGATTGGCCTATTGTACCTGCGCCGGGTGATTATGATGATGGAGAATTTGGTGGAATGAACATTGGCAGGGGAAACCGAAGTATTCGGAGAAAACTCGCCCCAACGCCACTTTGTTTACCACAAATCCCACTTGCTCAGACCCGGGATCGAACCCGGGCCGCCGTGGTGGGAAGCCAGCGACTAACCGCTTGAGCTATGGCGCGGCCTGACTAAGAATAAGCAGCGAATAGAAGAAGTGTTATGGGAGACGGAACATATACATAGACATTTCGGTTCACTAAAAATTTCACTTGAACCAGGTACTACAGGTAAGAGGACTGATTGTACCCTAGCCTTAAGTTTCACTCGGTTGCTAAATTTTATGAGAATGCATTTCAATATAGATTCAAACATAACGGCATTACGTTTTCTCCTTTCTTTCTTTCTTTCTTTCTATAATCAAATCGCGAGGGCTGGTGTACACCATCGCCTGCGGAAAGGTCCACAGCCCTGTACTAACACAGAGGATTATGTAATGCCACACATTCGAAGCAATATTTAAATATAAATTTAAATTTATAACTTAAAAATTCTTGAGAAAATTATTTTTCCTTCTCTGTGAATCGTTTCACGATTTTATGAGTATCTAGACTGCATAGAGTAAGATGAGAAAATGACTGCTGAGTGATTAATTGGATAGGATTTGCGAAAAGAAAGGTCTTTGCCTAATCCAGGTACTACCCCAGCATTTGCCTAGAGGGAGTGAGGAAATCTAAGAAAAACCTCGTTAGGACAGCCAGTGTTCCGACTGGAATTCGAACCGAGTACTTTCTGAATGCAAATCTAGAAGACGAGCTCGGTATAATTATGATCTCAACTGATACCGGGCTGCGGTACTGTTCCCGGTCCTGCAATAGATTAACGCGTGAAGAGAAAAGTCAAGCCAAGTCCTCTACATTTTTTGCACTTTTCCAAGATTTTGTACTGATCTCTGTACACCTGCCTCCCCTAACCCTGTTTCTGATCGGCTGAAGAAACCTGTAGCTTACATCCCTCAGCATCAAGTTTGTAGAGCAATATAGTTCAATAAACATTATAAAAAAATCTATAGTACCGTACTCTATAACTTACTAATTAAATCGTACTGTTCAAGATTCCAAGAAAAGTATATTCTAAGTTGTCATCGAAGCCAGTGAGATCCCTAGGTCATGGCCAGCAATGGCTATAAACCGACCTCCTTGACAAGTCACCTTTGACTTCGCACAAGCCCTTGCACTCCAAGTTGCCATGAGATTAAGAGTTTGGTGACTGTCACGACAACCACAGGCTACTAAGCGTTCGGGGTTTTAGTTCACACTTGCTTCGTACATACAGACTAAGTTTTAGTTCAATATGCCTTCGCCTCGCTTTTATTATTGAAGTTTTCCGTGACGTTCGGGACACTCACCCGAGTCCTTTCCGCCCTTGACGCAGATGCCGAAGCCATGTGAAGACTCGGGAGGCCGAACCATGTTGACGGTCCGCACCACCAAATCCTGGTGCATGTTGAGATTATGGTGGTGCTGCTGGGGACTATTCGCCGGACTGGATACAGCGCTCCGCCTCCCACCCCCTGCGTGGTGTGTCATCTTGTTGCTCGCACTGCCGCCGCCCCCAGCCCCAAAATATCTGAGTACCTGTTCCGGTGAGATGGGCCGCTTCTTTCCGTTAGAACCGACATGATGATGATGGTGATGGTGGTGGTTCGTAAGGGGTTTGCTGAATGTGGTGGAGGAACCTAGGTAGGTGCCCCGCGGGTGCTTTCCCGGCGTAGGTGCGGCGGTGGAGGACTCCTCGATGATGTATGAAGTACCGGGTGGTGAATAGTAGAGGCCCGAACGGCCCCGGGACGAACCTCCTCCCCGGGAATACATGATGTCCTCGGCCTCGTAGCTGCCGGCTCGATGGGAGGGCTGGTGAGGGGGTTGTGATGAGAAGCGTGACGTGGAGTTGTGGTGGTGGTGAGGGCTGTTGATGACACTGACGCTGCCCCCACCTGGGCTCCGCCCCCAGCGGCCACCATACTGAGACAGGTTGATCTCTGCTAATTCACCGAACCTTTCTTCGTCTGCCATCCAGCGTCACGTGATCACCTGCACAAACCGGCGTGCATTCATTAATAAAATTAGCGACAGGTTTATGATGTTTAGAGACGGAAACTGTGATAGCCCTTTCCATACTAGTTATTTTCAAAAAGCAGCAATTCGTTAGTATATTTTATGGTGTAAATCATATTCCGATTTACTCCAGATTGTGACATCGTGCAGTCTTGTAGGCAGACAGTGACATTTGTGAGGAACCTGCTACCTCCATCTTGAAACCTGAAGATGGAAACAGTATGTTCTTCCGAAAAATTGTTGGAGGCCTATGTAACCGTTCATCATAATTTGCTGGACCTTTTGTATTAAGTAAATTTATATTAAGTTAATATCGCGTAAAATACAAAGAGAGATCTGGCAGATAGCCAACTTTTACACGCAGAAGTGACATAGTTCAATGCATTCTACCTCAAACAGTTTTCATTCAACTTTCGGCCAAATCAGACACAAAAACACAACTACGTCACTTCGCTGAAAGTGTATTACAAGTTCAATCCAAATAAGTGTAACTATTAGGGTTTCCGTTGTGTTCAGCGAACTGAAGTTAATTAAATAATTACTGAAGAGCAAAAGACTTGGAAATGGTGTACGTGATTGTAGCGTAAGGATCTTCTTGTCCTGCCCGAGCCAGGCCCGTAAGAACCCAGATAAGAACTCATTGATACCCATTACAGAGCAGAATCCAGCTACTACCGACTTTTCCTACTTGCGGGACATCTAATGGTAGTACAGGAACGAAGTCCCGCCTACCAGCACCAACAACCACAATTCTCCTCCTTTCCCGCCTAACTTCTCGCCATCCACGAGAAGAGGGAGAAGGGCAGTAACTCCAGCGGAGGCGTCTAGACACGAGGTTCAGGTGAGCCGCAGCCCAGGGAAAGGAAGGTATACAGGTAGAGAACTAATAAGTGACGTAAAGTCGGGCAAAAAGAAAAAGCAGTCACGAGTGACAAACATCGTAAGGAGGAGGAGAAGGGAACGGTCACGCCTACAAGACTATGCGGTGTAGCAGCACAGAAAAACGAAGTGCATTAATCACCACCGTGAAGACCTCATAACATTAATGATAAGCTCTAACTACTGTGAGATAACAGGGCAGGTTTATTTCACTTGTCTGCTCAGACAACAATGAATCTAGATCATAACTGCCGGTGACGCTGCATGCGTAGCACGGAAGTGGTTCTTCTTGTGTCAGCATTTACATTTGCAAGACGAAAGGTAAAGACAGTAACAGAGCTGCAACGAATTAAAGCGTGCCACTAGAACATGACGATAATATCAGGATAAATGCCTCTTCAGTAGTTCATAAAATATTAAGAGGGATTGAATTATTTAACTTCAAATTATGATTAACTTGCATTTATAAACCAAAGGCACTACCTATATGAGTATGTGACAGTGACAAAAATTGGAAAGGAAAATTTTGAAGTGAGACTAACACTAAGGACTGGGAAATTAATGTGAGTTGACTGCTACCATAAAAAATAAGAGCATCAAACAGAACACGTGTTCCAAGTCTTGATTCAGCCAGTTCCTCCTGGAATAAGAAACAATTAACACAATGACGGAGAGATATAGAGAAAATAAGGGACCTTGAGAAATTTTCCACTAAACACAGCGAAAGAAAAGCATAGCCTTGGTCTGTTTTCTTTTCGGCAGAAATATAAGATTGCCTGTGGTGCGACCGTTTCTGTACATTTATGGTTCACATCATAAATATTGCCACAGCACAGCAAAGAGCGGTTCAATTCTGCAGTACTGTGGCGATGGAGAGATGTGTTCTGAAGGAATGCATATGAAGTAGGTCAACATGCTACCAGACAAACAGGGAACAAAGAGATATGCAGCGATGCGACAACTTCGGAAATTCATAAAGAAAGGAAGGGAAAGAAGACACAAACTTTCGTGTCCCTAACGTTGATCTTCTTCCGATACCTCCATCTATAACTTTTGTGCCAAAAACAACTTCTAACATTAGCTAAAATTATTTAATTGAAAGTAAAATTACAAATTTGTTCCCTAATGCTTAACACCAAAGACGAACGCGACTCCAGGCGAAGGGATTAGCTGCTTTAGCACAGTTGTGATCAAAACAAACTCAGTGATTTTAGTCCGCAAGCGAACTATACAGACCGAGCGGCAGTCGCTTGTCGGCGAAGTCTAGTGCCTACTTTTGCAGATAGGGGGTGTCGCGTGGTCAGCGAAACGAATCCCCACGGCCGTTAATTTCGGTTTTCTAGACCGGGGCCGCTATTTCCTTGAAATAGCTCCTCAATTATAATCTCGAGGCTGAGTGGGCCCCGCACACAGTCTGATCTCAGTAGCAAAATGTGAAAGACCCCCTTCAATATATAATTGGGGTAGGAGCTGTTCTTTGTGAAGAAAAGAAGGGAATCCAACCATTAGTCCGGCAAGCGAGCCTTAGCCTTTCGATCAGCAGTCTGTCCAACTTATCACGGCTTAGAAGGCAAAAATAAGTTTACCCTGTGCTCAAATGAGCATCACGTCATGCGGACATGTGAAGGAATACAGCTACAGCCCTATGAGTTCTTAATATCGACACTACATGGAGGTGAATGGTCATCTTCAAACCCGGGCCGCTTTAGTCCCGGGAAAAAGAACATGGATACAACTGGATATGAGAACTTGGAAGGCACAGCAATCACTTTGGATGCGGTTGTGATACTAGTCACATACCTGCACTAACTAATTTCATGGTACAAAATTTGTCTCTAAAACTGATAATCAACTAATTTTCTCTCTTTATACGGAAAAATTCCTATGTTTTTTTAACGTGTTCTCAAAACATCTTAAACGAAATGAAGATTTAAATAAATTGTGGAATGTAGATCAGTTGTTGGGCAACGACCGCGAAATATGCGACGGAACAGTGGCCGTTGCTAAGAAGTGGCCCGCAAACAACAGAAGAATGGTGCTTTTCTGCGCGGTGTGCTAAGCAACAATTGAAAATGGAGAGAGGAAATGTTTTCTGTGCGGTCCGTGCCGAGATATTATTAAGCAGGACAACTGGAGCAATAATTTAGTTGTGCTCTACTGAAATTTAGAGTGTGTGAATTAGCGACAGCGCTATAATTATTTTTAGCTACGATCTGTAAGTGTTCAGTACATCCAATTATCAATCCAAACCCTGTCTATAGTCACTCATACACGTGGCAATATATACACACACCATTAATCCTGAAAATATCATTTATAAAAATATCTGAAGGCCGTGTATGAGAACGTCCTTGAATAATTCGGTCTGCTCATATAGTTCGGTGTAGGCTTATCTTATGATGTGTGGCCTATGCAGAAAATGGCTAGTAAAACGCTTAAGATTATTGGTGAACAAGACACAAGTCTGAAACCTGCATTTGCAGTTTATACTTCCCTGAGGGTAGAGATAAAATCAGAGAAGTAGCAAGAAAATGTCAACTCGCACGCGGAATCTGAAAGACGTTACTTCCAGACGTGACGCGTTGGAAGACAAACACTCCAAAAGCGAAAGAATTAGACCCGATTTTATATTTCGTGGAAATAAATTTGAAGCGTGTTTGACGGTTTGAGAGGAGATTCGACATGAAAAAGAAAAAAAGAATTATAGCGAAGAGAAATCCTAAAGATAAGTTTGTTTTGTTGAGAGTTGTCTGTGTTGGAAGGAGTGACGACAAGAATTTTGTATGAATCAAAGTCACTTGCCTGCCTAGAATAATTTTATAGGTTTGCAAATGAGGGATCGTGTAGAGGTAAAATATGTTCCCCTGTAGAAACTTTATGTGAACTGACTCGTAAGAAATATATAGTATATGGTCGAAGTTCCTTAATGTTTGACAAGATCAAAATTAACCTAAGATGGCAAATTCGAAAGCGCAGATACATTTATGTGAATATACCTTCTCAGATAAATTCTAGGAATAACACTTTTTTACAGGAAACAATAAATACTGAAAGAGCAGTTGAATTATTATTTCTCTCTAGTCTAGCATTATGTAGGGCGCCAAACACAGTGGCCGCATGGTCTGGAGCATGAACTCTCTTCGCCTGCTGGAACGCTGGGATCGTGGTTTCGAATATCACTCGAGGCATGGACGTTTGTCTACGTTTATTCTGTTTGTGTTCTCCTGCTCAAGTAGCGGTCTTATGACGTGCTGATTCCATATCCAAGGAGTCCTACCCACTGTCTAAAGATTAAGAAACTGAAGTGAAAAAGCGCTTCATGAATACCCTATGCTCCAGAGGGAGCAACAGAAATATGAATGAATGAATTATATAGGGCTAGTTCCTCTTAAATGCGCAATTTATACTGGTTTAAGAGGTTTCGTTTGAAGCAGGGTCTACAGTAGTTTTAGACCAGAAAACTGGTAGAAATAAAACTGAATGACGTTAGAGGACTCACTTTCACTTCGACTATCAGTTCGATTGCTGGAACTCGTACAGAGAGGTCAGTGTAATATTAAAGAGCAAAGACAAGACAGTGAATGTGGCTGAAAATGGTACCAATTCATCAAAAGTGATAAAAGGTAAAGCAATTCCTATAACAGGCAGCGAAGGCCCACAGGGTGGGAGATGTTGAGGCTCAAACATTTTCTTTAGACAATCGGCTCACAGATGGCAGTAAGGTTGTCAGATTCCTGGTACTCATTTCTGTTAGAGTGTGAGACGACCAAGGGCCACAGTGCGGCTGGAATGATTATGTAAATTGAAGAAATCCACTTCATCGGGACTCGAACCCGCGACCTTCCGGCTTGTAGCATAGTGCTTCAATCAACTACGCTACCACGTACCTCCGAACGTAGCAAATTACACTAACAAGGTTCTACAAGAAGCAACGAGCACCCACTAACCTCTTTTAGTAACAGGACGACAGACACTTCAATATTATGTAAGATTTGAGGCTTTCACGGCGGTGACTATGAAGAAAGCAGTCTTCTGGGATTTGGCACCGTGTAGATGTGGTGTTAACCAACGTTTCGGAGGAACGTATCGCCTCCATCTTCAGGGTAGAAGGAAAAATATAAGAAATCCGCAAGCAAAGAGACCGTGAGAACCGACCGGCGATACGTTCCTCCGAAACGTCGGTTAACACAACATATAACCACATATACACGGTGCCAAATCCCAGAAGACTGCTTTCTTTACTTCAATATTAATTTGGGATGAAAGGTAGTGCCAATTTCTGAACTGGTTAAGTTGCGCCCTCCTGAAGTGGGGGAAGGAGGAGACTGTGAGTCATAAATTGAAAGGATGTGAAAGGACGTGGTCGTACTTGTAAGTTGTCGCATTACTGGTAGAAGGGATTCAGGCAAATAAAGAAAACCCTGGATATAGATTTGTTAAGCTAGCCTCCACCTCCAGCTTTCCTTCACTCTTCGAAACTCACACAATAACAAGACTCCAACCCTTACTTCAATTTGTAATTCAATATCTTCAAGAACTGCTTGGTGCTGGGTCATTCTAAGAAAGCTCCTTAGCGACTGAAGACATTCTTCAGTCTTACGGAATCCGGAAGTTCGTTATGATGCTCGCTAAGTCCTACAGTTGGATGCACGCTAACCTATACAGAGCCAGTCCAGTCTAGTCCGCAAATTGACATCCCGTTTATCCAAAGTTAGTTCTGATGTTACTCTCTGCTCTACATTTATGTTCATAAGTGGTTTGCCCCTTGACGTTTTGAGACAAATTTTGTACCTACTTTTAGTCATCTCTTTCGAGTTGCATGTCCTATCCATCTAAACTTCCTCAGTCTTATCACCCAGATAATATTAGGTCATGAACACTGTACCCACAATATATTTTCTCTCAGTTCACAAATCTATTATAAAATATAAATTAAAATATATTTGCAGACAATAGAGAACCAGATCGGAAAAATTTACTATAAGGGTTGTGTAAACGACTGAGATATTTTATCGAGTCCTGTAATCACAAACTGCAAATTTCAATATCAGGACAAATGACTCTTAACTCAATCAAATGTCAGAGTAATACAGACTGTGTCAATGAATTGCGCGATTTGGCAGTAGTGCTTTTTCCTGGATTGGTTTGAGTGGGGAGGATGCCACTACTGCCGCCCAGCAGCCTACTTCAAAGCGTTTTAGTTGCAATAAAGCTGTGGACTGGAGCACAAGGTGCTTCTGTTATGAAAGAATTTTACATAAACGGTGACATTTTCGTGAACGCTTAGCGTGAATTTCGAGGAGAGTTTGGTATTCATCGCAAGTCGTGCTGTTCCATCTGACCATGCCGTCAAGACCTGGGTTCAGAATGTTGAGGCTACTGGCTCTACACTAAAGAAGGGTGGCAGCGTAAAAACAGAACGTACACCCGAGAATGTAGCGGCAGTGGGAGAAGCCATTGAACGAAGTCCACGTCGGTCTGCGCGTCGCCACGCTACGTCACTCGGGCTGTCCGAAGCCAGCGTTCGGCAGATTTTGCGCACAGATCTCCACTTCTACCCCTATAACTTTCAAATTACCCATGAACTACACAGACATGATCATGAAAACGGAGTTGATTTCTGCCATACTTTTTGGCAACTAATTAATCAAAACCAAGATGTCGTTAACGGCTTACTATGAGCGATGAAGCTCATTTCCATTTGTCGGGGTTTGCTAACAAGCAACATTTCCGCTATTGGTCAGCCACAGACACCAAAGAAATCTAAGAGAGACCACTTCACAGTTCCAAAGTCACAGTATGGTGCGCGTTATCTTCGTTTCGAATTATTGGCCCGTACTTCTTTGAAGATGAGTGGGAAAGGGCTGTAACCGTGACTGGACCACGTTACGTTCACATGTCGAGAGCTTCTTAGTTATTGCACTTGTTCGTCTTCCAGTCAAGGAAGAAACGTTTTTCCAGCAAGATGTGGCTATGTGCCACACAGCATGAGCTTCCATGGCAGTTGTGAATAACCTGTTTCCTAACCATGTTATCTCCAGATATGGGGACAGCATATGGCCAGCCAGGTCACCTGATCTTTCCACATGTGATTTTTTCTCCGGGTTATCTGAAATCCCAAGTTTTCATAGCTCCAGCACCCCACACAGTTCAAGAGTTGAAACACTGAATTCGGAAAGAAGCTGAACGAATTCCCGTGGAGATGCTGCAAAGAGCAAAGAGTGACTTTAAGAAGAGACTTACAGAGTGCCTACAGCGGAATGGTGGTCATCTGTCGGATGTTATTTTTGGAAAACAGACTTCTATTTTCAGTGAATCAATTAAGAAAAACCAAATGCTTTTATGTTTACTCTGTATTTATACGCGTTAAAAACAAATAATTTTTTTAATATATTTTGAATTTTAGCACTCAGAATATTACACAATTCTATAAGCTAAAGTGCTGATTACTTATTAGATATACTAATGACTAGTGGCATGAACAGGTTGATATCCAGCGAAATCACCTGTATAATCTATAATTAGTATCTATACATTAACTTAAGAGTAGTTCACTTGGCCACAGTTTTTTGAGTCTTTTGTTGCTTACTGGTTCCAGGAGTTGTTCCATGAGCTGATTGGG